CCTGGTCCTTGTGCTTGCATAGGCAAACACTTAGACCACTGACCTGTCTCCAAAGCCCATATCTTTTTATCTGGAGACTAGCTTAAAGAAATGTCTAGTTTCCAAGTTGACAAGAAGTGGATTGTAGTGGTTGATTGATTGTGTCAACTTGAGAAGTTAAAAGTTTAGATTGGCTCAGAAATTCCACACCCTAGGGTGTGGAGGTCCTGCCATAGTTACTCATCTTTTATTAGATATAAAAGGGAATTGAAGAAGGAGTGTTCCTTTTCCTCAGAGGAACCCCGTGTTTACAATCAGCTTGGGTTTGGTCTCATGATTTCTAGTGCAGACTCTTTGGTTACCACCTAGGATCCTTCACCCTTCTGGTGTAGACTCATTAGCCTTCCATCAGAGACACATTGGCCTCCTGATATGGACTTGCACAGAACACTGCATTGAGCTTCTGATCTTAGACTGAATACTTCAATCTCCAATGTGCAGATACTGTCTACATGCTTCCTCATCTGACTCTGGCTGACCATCATAAGCCAATCTTGTAATTTATTATAAATTTGAATATATTGTGTCATACCTGTTGCTCAAGTAAAACACTGACTGAGGCATCAAAGTTATCAAAAAAGGAAAGAAAAAAACTGAAATTCATGCAATAAGTAATGAAAAGTATAAAATGAGTACAGTACCTATAGAAATACAAAAAATCATCAATACATATATCCAAAATTTATACTCTCAAAGGATGGAAACACAGGAGAAATGGACAGGTTCCTAGATACATATGAACTACCAAAGCTGAATCAAGAAGATATAAAAATTCTGAATAACACAATATCAGTTAATAAACTGAAAATGCAATAAAAAAGCCTACCAACAAAGAAAAGCCCAAGTCCTGATGGATTCACAGTTGAATTCTACAAGAAACTTACAGGAGACTATGCAAACTCTTCTAAAAATCTTTAATGAAAGTGGAAAGGAAGCAATTCTCCCAAACTCATTCAGGGAGGCAAGTATTATTCTGATAATGAAACCAGAGAATGATACAACTAAAAACCAGAGCTACAGGCCAATCACCTTAATGAACACAGATACAAAAATCCTCAATAGAATACTAGCAAACAGAATGAAGAAAATTATCAAGAACACTATACATCAAGAACAAGTGGGATTCATCCTAGGATTGAAGGGATGGTTTATATATGCAAATACATAAATTTAATACATCATGTCAACAGAGCCAAAACCAAAAATAACATGATTATCCCAATAGAGGCAGAAAAACTTTTAAGTACAACACTCACTCATGATAAACACAACAAAAAATTGGAATAGATGGTCTTTATCTCAATCTGATAAAATCCATCTTAAATAAACCAACAGCCAGCATTTTAATTAAAGGACAAAAATTGAAAGCCTTTACTGTATTTTTAATTAAATTTTTTTTTCTGACTCAGCCTGCCCAGAGGGCAGGACTGGCATGGTGTGTGGTGCCAGGAATTGAACCACAGTCCCCATACACCTGCCTAAGCTTGCCTAAGCAGGTGCTTTAGGCCACTGAACTATCTCACTGGCCTCAAAATTGTTTACTTTAAAATCAGGAGCAAGACAAGGATGCCTACTGTCACCACTCTTATTCAGTATAGTTCTGGAAACATTAGCCAGAGAAATCAGACAGAAAGACAAGTAAAAGAAATAATGATGAGAAAGGAAGAAGTGCAATTATCATTATTTGCAGATGACATGATACTCTACATTGGAGACCCCCAAAATTCCACCAATAGACTTGTATATTTAATAACCAAATTCATTAGCATAACAGTATACAAAGTCAACACTTAAAACTCCACAGCATTTCTATACACAAACAATAAAAACACTGAGAGAGAAACTGTGGAAACCATGCCTTTCACAATAACATCCTCCAAAATGAAATACTTAGAAATCAATCTCACAAAGAAGTAAAAGATTTATACAGTGTAAGTTGTAGCACTCTGGAAAAAGGGATTGAAAAAGATTTCAGAAAATGGAAAGCTACCCCTTGCTCCTGGATAGGAAGAACCAACATTTTGAAAATGGCCATACTACCAAAATTGTTATACGGATTCAGTGCAATCTCAATTAAAATACCATTAGTATACCACACAGATTTAGAAAAAACATTCCTAAAATTCATCTGGATCCAGAATAAACCTGTGATAGCAAAAGCAATTCTGGGCAACAAAACAAAGGCAGAAGGCACCATAAACACTGACTTGAAAGTATATTGCAAAGATACTGTGACAAAATCAGCATGGCACTGGCAAAAAAAAAAAATAGATCTGAAAATCAATGGGATGGGTTAGAAGATGCAGACACCATTACAAACACAACCAGCTACCTTATCTTTGACAAAGTGTTCAAGCATTTTCACTGGAAGAAATACATCCTCTTTGATAAATGATGCAGAAAAACTGGCTTTCCACATGCCAATTGCTTATAAGGGAGCTATGACTATCACAATGCATGAAACTACAGTCAAAATGAATCAGATTTAAATATTTTATGGTTTTGTTTTTTGGAACTGGGAATTGAACTCAGGCCCTTGCGCTTGCCAGGCAAGCGCTTATTCTACTAAATTATCTCCCCAACTCCCTGATTTAAATATTAAAACTGAAATATTAAATCTTCTGGAGGAGAAAGTAGATAGAAATCTTAAAGACATAGGCATAGATAGAGGGTTTCTGAACAAAAGCAAACTTCATGGGAAATACTTCAAAGAATCAACAATTGACATCTCAGCTTTTTGAAAACTTTCTTCAAACCAAAAGAAATCACCAATAGAGTACAAGGAAAAACCATAAACTGGGAAAGTATTATAGCCAACTCTTCCTCTGAAAAAAGAATTCTATCTAGAAAGATATAGATTTGAAAAATATCAGGCCTCAAAAATTCAGAGACCTAATCCAAACATGGACATCTGAGATGAATATACACTTTACAAATGAAGAAATACAAATGGCAAATAAATATATGAAAAATTCTCAGTACCATTTGTCATACAAGAGATGACAATTAAACCAATGCTGAGATACCATCTTATGCCAGAAAGAATGGCTATCATTAAGACGTGCACCAATAACAAATGCTGGAGGAACTGTGAGGAAAAAGGAACACTTCTCCACTGTTGGTGGAAGTGCAGACTTGTACAACCACTGTGGAAGGCAGTGTGGAGATTCTTCAAAAAGCTAGAATTGGAGGTCCAATTTAACCCAGATATTCCTCTGTTGGGTATTTTTCCAGAAGAACTGAAATCATCACACCACAGTGACAGATGTGACCCATGTTTATAGCAGCACAATTTGTCATAGCTAAATCTTGGAAACAACCCAAATGTCCATCAACGGAGGAATGGATTAAAAATATTTGGCATTTTTACACAATGAAATATTACTCAGCTATGATAAAAGGTAAAATCAAGGGTCTTGTAGGTAGATGGATATAACTAGAGACTGTATTGTTAAGTGAAATAAATAAGACCCACATGAGCAAACATTTCATTATCTTGCTAGTGTGAGGACTTGATAGAATAAATCAAATCTGAAAGGTACAATAGATACCGTGAAGTGGAAAGAATCTGTTCAATGGGAAGGAAAAACTGGGAGGAGGAAAAGAACAAAAGAAGAAGGGAAAATGTGTATTTAGTTATATGTGCAGGATAGTTTGAATAACTGTACTGCTGATTTCTGCTGGTCTATTGAATGAAGTAGTTAATGTATACATTTAAAAAAATTTTCTTTTTTATTTTGAAAGAATGCAAAATAGAGATATAAAGAAAAAACAGTGTTAGGAATAGTACAAATTTCACTAAACCAAGTAATAGGAATTCTCCAATGTTTGCTGTATTACATGATGCTATCTTCAGATTAGTTGTTCACATCACCAGATATAAATGTGTAAGATTTATTTAAAAAACAATAACATAGAATTTAAGAAATTCAAAAGAGGAGAAAAAACAGTGGAAAAGAAAATTTAATCATTAATTGCTCCATTCAAAAGACCAGCAGAAATTGACAATACAATTATCCAAACAATTCTACATATATATCAAAATTTATCTTTTTACCTTATTACATTTTTTTCTCATCCCTTTTTTCTCCTTCTCATTGAACATTTTTTTTCCCTTCCATAGTATCTGTTATACCTTTTAGGTTTTTTTTTTTTTTTCATGTTCTCACACTAGCGAGATAATATGATGTTTGCACATGTGGATCTGATTTATTTCACTTACTGATATAGACTCTAGCTGCATCCATTTATCTACAATACCCTCAAATTTATCTATTTATAGCTGAATAATACTCCACTGTGTAAAAATATCATATCTTTTTTTTCATTCATTCCTCAGTTGATGGACATTTGGTTTTTTTTTTCTTCAAGATTTAGCTATGACAAATTGTGCTGCTATAAATATGGTGGCACATATATTGCTGTGGTGTGATAATTCAGTTCTTTTGCAAAAATACGTAGGAGAGGACTATCTGGATTAAGTGGGACCTCTAATTCTAGCCTTTTGAGGAATCTCTATAGTGATTTCCATAATGGTTGTATAAGCCTGCACTCCCACCAGCACTGGAGAAGGGTTCCTTTTCCACCGCAGCCTCTTCAGCACTTGTTATTGGTTGACTTCTTGATGATAACCAATCTTTCAGGTGTAAGATAGTATCTCAGGCGGCAATCGGGCGCGGCCTGGAAGGGCGATGGGACTGCTGGCTGCCGCGGAGCCCACTCTGGAGATAATATGATTATGCTCTGTTAATGTGATACCCACCCCTTGGCTGCCTAGCGTTGCCTGGGCCCGCAGCCTTCGGGGCTGCCGAGCAGAAGCCTCGAAGGACAGCGGTGACCGCCGCTAGCCGCAGCTCCCTCCACCGCCTCCGCGCATCCTCGCCGTCCACCGCGCCCAGCCGCCGGCTCCGAGCCAGCCTGCTGCGCCTGGGAGCCATCCGCCCGCCCGTGCTCAGCCATGGGGGACCTGCCCGGCCTCGTGCGCCTCTCCATTGCGCTGCGCTTGCAGCCCAAGGAAGACCCGGTCTTCTATGAAGGTGGGTGGGCAGCGCTTCGGCCAGAACCGCACCATCAAGCAGCTCACCGGCTCCTCTTACAAGGTGGAGGTGAGGATTAAGCCCATCACACTGCAGGTCGAGAACATTTCCATCGGAGGGGTGCTTGTCCCACTGGAGCTGAAGTGCAAAGAACCTGATGGAGACCGAGTGGTGTACACGGGCACATATGACACAGGTGTGGCCCCAACTAAGAGTGGAGAACGACAGCCCATCCAGATCACCATGCCGTTCACAGACATTGGGACCTTCGAGACGGTGTGGCAAGTCAAGTTCTACAATTACCACAAGCAAGACCACTGCCAGTGGGGAAGCCTCTTCTCTGTCATTGAGTAGGAATGCAAGCCCAATGAGACACGCAGTCTCATGTGGGTGAACAAGGAGTCCTTCCTCTGAAGACGGCTCTTTCTCATGCTGCTGGACAATCTCAGAAACCTACTTTTAGATAAACCAGCACAAGCCTTGCCCAAGGCATGTCACACCATGGCTGTTTCCCTTCTGGAATCAATGAC